AGTGTGGATGTTACCAAGGAACCCACTCCTACATCAAGCCTGGAATGCATGAAGTTCAGCTGATAGTGGCATCCCAATCTGAGCTGGGGGGCGTTTGCTCTTGGGATCGTGTCTCCATCTAATGGAGGCTGCAGCTTTCAAGCTGGCCAAGGGTAATAATATCCTTGTGTGCCTGTAATTAGCTCCTAATTAGCATAGTTTTAATATGAGGTGGGCTTGCTCTCCCCTCAGAGTGCTCTGTGTTGTACAAGGGGCTGAGTAATTGCCTCTGCAGCTGTGGTGGGGACACCTCCTGGGATGCAGCAGCCTGGAGCTGTGCTGGTTTGAACGGAGCAACCACTGCAGCGCTCCTGACATCAAAATGAGATCACTGCAATTAATACAGCCATTAAAAATACATATGGCATCCAGCAGGGCAGGCTCTGCACAGGGGAGGTGTGTGTGCCAGCACCACGCAGGGCTCCCAGGGCGAAGTTGGGTTCGGTCCTGTCTGCTCCCCTCCAATTAGCGGCAATTACTGCATCCAGTGATTGGTTCTTCAGCAGCAGAGTTCCTTCCCACCCTTCCCAGTGCCATCCCTATTGCAGGCACTGATTTGTTGCTGCCCTTGAATTATCACTGATGGCACTGATGGGGGACGGGGTGGGGGTGAGCATGGGGTGCCCAGACTGCATGTACCCCAAAATAGCAGTGGGTCCTGTCGGGATGTGCCGGGTTGGCCGCAGCATGCGAGGATCCCACAGGGCTGTTTGGGTCCTGGCAGGTGCACAGCGTGGGGCACGCGCTGTCCCCACAGTGCTGGCAGGAAATGCTCTGGGACTTTTCCACTCTGTTCCCGGTCTTGGTTTCCTGCATGAGGCTGCTGGCAGGGCCGGGCGCTGTGCCCCAATTCCCTCAGCTGCTGCATTGCATTGGGCACAGCACGGCTCACCCTTTCCCAAAAATACCTCTTCCATTCTCAGCCCCATTAGCTCATCGACTCATTTGATCCCCAGCATCCCCGCTCATTCTGTAGTGCTGCCTCTTCCCTGCACTCACAGCTCCTTTGCCCACCATTCCCTGTATCATCCCAACCCATTTCCCACAGCAAGCAGCTGCAGGGTTGGTTTGCAGCCCCATCCCAGCTGCACAGCAGGCTCCAGCCTGCTCCCTACACCACCATTGCTTCTTTGCATGCACCAGAGTAAAGCTGCAGTTATTTCCTTCTGGAGCCATTGCACAAGGGAGGCAGTGTGTGGCCATGCTTTGTACAGCCCCACACGTGGCTCCCTCAGCCCTAACCTCACCCCACGGCTTTGTTTTCCTTTAACACCAGGGGTTGTTTTCTCCCCCTCCCATCCTCAGCTGTCAGCTGGACATACCGGAGTGCTGCCAGAAATGTTGCAGTGTCAGCTGATGGCCCAAATGTCTGCAGGCTCCCCCCGCTTCTTCATTTCCCATCCTCGAGTGACACCGAGCAGCACTGTGATCCCAGAGCCAGTGGCTGGACCAGCAGGTGAGGGATGGGGACCGGGGGTGGCTGAGCACTTGGAGGCACCAGGAGTGGTGTTAGAAGTGCTCCAAGCATGGCCATGGCTTGTGGGAAGGGATGGGAGCGAGGGGACGGCAGCAAGCAGGGCTGTGTGTGCAAAGTGAGCATTGTGGCTTTGGGTTTGGCTGCATTGCATTGCTTTGCATTGGGTTAGCTATAGGGTTGAGTTAAGGTTTAAGGCTGGCTTTGAGTTCTCCAAAGGGTTCGTGGCATTGCTGGAAAGCACAGGGCGGGTTGGTGGGGGGCAGAAGGGGGTTGGATGCGAGGCTGAGGCTGGATGGGGCTGTGCTGGAGTGGGCTCAACAGTATTGTGGGAGTACTAAGGAGTGTGGAGGAATGGAGGGAGGTTCTGAGCCAGGTCTGTGTGCACAACTCCCAGAATTAATGGCTGAAAGGTCAGGGGGGGACAGGCAGGTCAGAGCCCAGAGCTAGGATAGAGTTTGGGTGCTTATACTGCTCTGATTTGTGCCTGAGAAATTGATCGGTGCAGAACTTTCTTGGAAACAACTGATGGTAGTGGAAAAGCTGTTTATTTTGGGGGCTCAGGAGCAGCTCAGTGCGTGCATCCCAGAGCTGTGCGGATATGGGGAGGTGACGTCCCCATCCCACTGCCCATTTGTGGGTACAGTGGGTGCTGCAGACCATGGGGCACTGTGCATTCCCATGCCCAGATCCCAGCATGGGGTTGGGTGCTTTTGCAGCCATTCCATCCAGGATAATTCTGCTCTCATCCCCCCCACCCATGACCCCGCGCTTGGCAGAGCCGCCAAATAAATCCTTTGGTGCAGCAAACTGCATCTTTGCATCTTATTCATGAGGGACACAGGGACTGGCCGTAAAGTTTATGAACGTCATTTTCTTTCAAGGAAGGAAATACAAGATAAAAGAGCTCAGGGTTTCTGCACGTCAGGATTTATGGGGTGCTTAGAGCCGGGTTTTGCGCCAAGAGCCGAACATTTCGCGGCCGGCACAGTGCTGACTTTGTCTGTGGTTGAGGGGCCCAATGCTGTGAGTCCTGTTTGGGAGCACACAGAGCTGGGAGCACTCGGATGTTCCTTGTGGCCAATGCTTCGAGGTGCTCGGAGGCACAAGGCCAAACACTGGACAGAAATGGGGTAATTGGGTTTTGCAAAGCGCTCCTGCAGGCTGCGCTGGTGTTGGGTGCGGGAGCTGGCCAGGAATCCAGGTCAACTTGAGAGCTGCGGGCACGAGGATCTCCACAAATTAACAGCCAAGTTCATTTCTTGCCTTTTAATTAAAGCAAAATAAAATAAAATAAAAACCATCAACCGAGCCCAGCAGCACCGTGCAGTGCACAGAGCCTGACTGTGCAGCACAGCGCCTCAAGATGCCCCGCAGTGCTGGCACTGAGCCGGGGCTCTGCTGATGGGCACTTGTTTTCATGGTGATTTTCCTTTTTTTTTTTAATATTCCAAAGCCTTTCTGGCAATGGGACCCTCGTGCAGAGCCGCTCCCAGGGCCGGGCTGTGCTTCACCCCAGTGTGAGTGGGGTGGGATGGGGCGGGCGCTCGGAGAACGCCATCTGCTTGGTTCCATGGGGCTGCATTAAGGCTGTGCTGTAAATAGAGCTCTTTGCATGGCGCCTTCTGATGCTGGGCCCCAAAGCAGAGCCTGGCAGGCTGTGTCCCCAGGAGCTCTGCCCAGTGAGCACTGCAGACACTCAAATATTCAGACCCCTCTCCACCCACAGCGCCTGCGCGGCTGTGTCGCTTTTGCTGGAGGACAAAATTACCCAGGGTTTTGGGTTTTATTGTCAGGGACACAGATTAATCTGCAATTCAGTATATTTTTAGTGCCGTGGATATCTGTTGGCATTCACGACCACTCGAGCTGTCAGATGGGAACTACTCCCAGTGTCCCATTTCAGAGGAGCTCGAGGTCTGTGTGGAGCGAGCTGCTTGCTTTCTGCTTCTTTCAACAACAACAAAAAATCCAGCAAACCTTCATCTTTGAAGGGAGAAATCCTCTTTAAAAGCTGCTTCAACTGAACGCAACGCTAAATGCTTTTATTTACTTCTAGAAAGTCTATGAAGTGCTGCTTTCTTCCTGGGCTGCAAAGCATTCATCCGAGCGGGTCGGCTTTGTTCCCCGAGCTGGTGCTGCTAATTGTAGAGCAGAGATTCCTCTCCGAGGTGTGCAGTGATGAAAGAATAGAGAAGAGAGGGGGGAAAACCACCTTGGGGGGATGTTGAAGGAGTGAGCTGTGCGGGGAGGAGCGTTCCTTCCCCCCTGGTGCCACTGCATCCAACTCCTCCAGGTGCAGAACCTTTGCTGTCTGTTAGCTACTGAACTTGGCTATGGAAGGTGGTGGTGCTCACGGACAGCCCTGTGAGCTTTGGTGCATGGAAACAAACCTTCCATAGGCGTCACAGTTACTGCACTGGGTTCCTTCAAGCACAAATAGGATGCCAAGCTCCCTAGGCTGGAGGAGTGTGAAGAAAGCCTCCCATGTCAGCACTCTGCCTTGGGAGGGCTGCAGGAATGCAGAGCTGCCCTCAAAGGGAGGATAATGCACGGTCTTTTTTTCCCCCATCAGTTACATTTTGGGGTCTGCAATGTCTTATTCTGATTTTAGAACATTGATGGCATGGAACCTGCACAAATGTTAGCTCTGCCATCTTTCTGTCTGTCTCAATGGCTACAGGAATCCTCTGCAGAGCAAGGGCATCCACAGCCCCTTGCAAAGAGTAAAGCAAAGAGGGGAGAGGGTTTGCTGGGTGCAAAGCAGAGCTGAGGTGCTGCTGCTCTGCATCTGTGCCTTTCCCACCTTACTGCTCCCCAGCTCTTTTCTCCTGCCACAGCCACAGGAGGATTCCTCCCTGGGGATGGAATTGGGACCCAAATCCATGTGCTCAGGTGGGAGCTCTGGGTTCTGCTGTGATGCATCCTCACACCATCCTTGTGCAGGAAGCATTCCCAGTGCCATGGTGGTAATTGGTTGGGAACGTCCCCTCCTGATGGTGCTCTCAAAGAGAACATTGCTGACCCCACTGGTAACTTTGGGAGGTGGGGAGCTGCGCAAGGATGGGGGTTTTGCAGATGCTTTATTAAGAAACCTCACTCACAGGGAATGTTCTGGCTTGGGGAAAGGCTAAGACCATCATTAGCACTGTCTCATCAGGCAAACTGAGGCTGTTTCACAGCAGGGCTGTTATTAATACAGCATATTAATACCCCAGCATTGCTGGCCCAAGGAACGCCCCGGTCCAGCTGGTTTCACAAGGCTGCCGCGTTAATTTGATAGCTCTTCTCAGTCATCCCCTTCTGTTTCCTTTGCCCCCAGCGGGTCTAAATCGGGGCTTTTGGGGACGTGTCACACCAGGGCTCCCCGCCAGCATCGTGTTGTACACGAGGCCGGGCTGCTCCCAGCCCACTGCAGGCGGTGGCTTTGCAGTGGTACATCCCCCCACCCCGCCTTCACGCTCTCCCATATCCTCAGCTTGCAGACACCACGTCGAGGAGCTGCACGGGCACGGAATGACCCACACTGCGACGTCCCCACGCTGCTGACCCCCAGCCTTCGCCGAGCAGCATGGTGGGGCAGAGCGAGGGCAGGAGGGCAGTGCTCCTGGAGCCCTTCGTGCACCAGGTGGGCGGCCACATGAGCATGATGAAGTACGACGAGCACACGGTCTGCAAACCCCTGGTCTCACAGGAGCTGAGCTTCTACGAGTCGCTGCCCCTGGCCATGAGGCAGTTCACCCCTCAGTACAAAGGTAGGGTGGGAAGCACTCGGTCGGGCTGGGTCTGAGCCGGGAGCCCCTCGTGTTGTGCAGAGCAGGCTGTGCTCGGTGAAGCCGCTGGCTGGGTGCGCAGTGGCTGCCTCCGCCACTGGGCTTGCTTTGGGGACCTTGCTGGGTGATGCTGCGGGTGTGGGAAGGCTGAAAAGCAGTGACACAGAGCGTGGCCAACGCCGAACTGCCCCGTGCTGCTGTGCCAACTCCAAGGGCTGCAGCCAGGCAGACGTGCTGCCTATTTCTGTTATGGCGAGTCAAAGCAGGCTGCATGTGCAGGATACCTTTCATTCCTTTGTGGGTGCTAGTCCTCAAATAGACCTCTTTTTCCATGCCGTTAATGTTTCATTAACCCCAATTAGGAAGCCTGCTCCCGCTCAGCACTGTGCTGACCTTTTGCTAAGGAGATGCTGTGGGTTCCGGCTCAGGAGTTGTGGTCCCTGCACTTGGGACCACACAGTACAGAGCAGTGCTGCTCTGAAATCACAGTGTGTGAGAATAAGGGCCGGCAGCAGAAGCAGGGCTCAGGGGTGCCTTTGCCCCGTGGCCTTTGGTGTTAGAGGAGGTGAAGGTTTGCGTCAGAAAGGAGGAGAGCAAGGGAAGGGGCAGGGCTGGCACCAGCATGAGCCGGGGTAGAGACGCTCCTCAGAGCCAGCATGACATACCAAGGCAGAAATAGCCCAGGGGAACGGAGCATCTCTTTGAGGCTGCTCCACCAGGCGCTGCTTGTGGCGCCCCTGTAGGCACTGATCCTGGAAAAGCAGAGACAAAACTCAAGTCCATGTGTCTCAGGATTAGCTGTCGAAATGCAGTGCTTGATGTGTAAGATGGTCCAAGCATTCCTCCTAATTCTTTCTCTTTTAAGATGCCCCCCTTCCTTCCTCCCTCCCTATTGCTGCTCCTGACCCTGGGTTTGGTGAGAGTCGAGAAGCTCAGCTGTCACATAAAAGCTTAAAATATCTCTTGGTCCTTCAGCAGTACAGAAAGGAGCTCCGAGTGTCGGCTGAGGTCTCCCATCCAATCTCTCCCTTTTCCACCAAGTCAGGGGCCTCTGTAGATTTATGGGGCAATATTGAAGAGATGCTTAAGAAAGAAAACCAGGCCTCCTCTGAGCGATTTCCTTTAGCAGGTGCCGGGTTTCAGTGTCAGAGAGCTGAGCCCTGCTCCATTCCTGTTATGAAGACATTAAGCACTCCCAGCTTAACAGTTCAGGGGTTATTAATACCTTTTTATCCTCTATTTCTTTCTATTGCAAGTCCCAGAACAATAGGGGTAATTAAACGGCAATTCTCCTCCAATTTGGCATCAGGGAGACACATTTTGTTCCCTGCTTCCAGCTGTCCCAGCCCCAAACGCCAGGCACATTAAAGAGGTGGAACGTTTGCTAAGGGCCAACGTTTTCCCATGGAGGTGATGAGCATCAGTGGGAACAACCCCGAGGTCTCCACCCCCACCCATAGGCATCCACACTCCTCACCTCTATTCTTAGGCTGGGGGATTGCTCAGGGCTCACTGTGTGATGCTGATGTGACGCACGGCGTTGATCAAATGTCACCATTCAAACCTCACACCCGGGTGGCTGCTTAAAAAGCGTGTCCTTGACCCCTTCCAACCCAATGGGATTGGGGCACTGTGCGTGACAATGCAAGCTAAGGTCCTATGGACATCTTTGCTCTCAGGTGTTTTCTCCTTGTAACAGAAGAGAAAGTGTTGAGTGTTCATATCCAAAACTGCTCACCCCATAAGGAAGCACATAGGGAAACAGGTCATTTTAAGGCAGAGATGTGAGTTTACAAAGGCAGTTCTCAGGTGGAAGGAGGTGATCGCGTTCCCTTGCCTTTGAAAATATCCCCATTAATTTTCATGTTAATTGAGGTATTTAAGAACTCATCATTTCATGCTATATAGAACGTTTTTAGGGCCAGACTGTCAGCACTGTGTAAATGAGCACAGCTCTGTTGACTTGCAGCCATGGAACTGGGGCAGATTTTAAGTTACACACTGCTGTAGTGCACAGTGCTGCATTTGGAATTGAGGACTCCACTCGCTTTTATTCAGGCAAAAAATACATTTCTTTTTTTCATGTCCACCTCCCCTGAAATCCCAAAGCAAGCATCGGAGCTGGCAGGACTTCTGGTAATCTGTAATATGGATTCCTACAAGTGGGATGCTGTTAGAGATCATGTGGGTGATGCTGGGAGCACAGCTCCTGAACTCATGATAACTGCGAGCAAAGGACCGAGAGAAAATATTACTCACCCCCTAATTAAGCTTTCCAGCCCTATAGCTCACAGGCAGAGCAGCCTGCGTGTATCCCTCACTCATTTCAGCTCAAGGCAAATGGATCTGACCCAACCTCTATGGCATGCCAGTTGGAGTGATGCTGATTTTTACAGTGGGGGAAGGAATGGCTGTGGGCTGCATGTAGGCTGTGGGGCAGAGGGACCTGCAGGTCTGTGAGGTGTGGGACCAGGGAAGGAATGGGCCCCCAAATCTCATGGAAGGGAATCTTCCGTCAGTCAGCAAAACCCAGCAGCCATGGCCCTGCAAATCCTCCCATCTGTGTTTGCTCACTGTAATCTCGCTTCAAATGGAGAGAAGGCAGTTTGTGTATTTATTTGCTTTGGCAAATTGGCTCGGGCAAAGAGAGCTGCCTTGTTTGTAAGCTGCAGAGACGCATTTCCCCGCAATGACTAACAGACTGCATGAGGATACCCTGGGGACAGCTGGACCCAACCCAGCTCCATGTGCTGCGAACGGAGCCTCCTTCCAGCACTGAGCTCTGTTGGTCCAACAGCACTGACCATCCTGTTTGGATCCGCCTTGCTGCAGCCAGACCTGAAAGCGCTGGGGCGGGATGATTCACGTGGCTGCGTCCCCTCTGTGAGCGAAAGGGCGATGCTCTAAAAATGCCTGCGCTGCCTTGAGAGGCTCAGACAGCCCTGACAGAGGCTGTGGGAGCAGCGCTGCCCCGAGCAAAGGACTGCTGTTATCAGCCTTTCCCAGAAAGGTCAGAGCCGTCTGCTGCGCCAAGCACAGCCATTCCTGTGCTGTCATTTGACACGCGGAGGCAGCGCTCCTGATGCCAGGGATGGGCTGAGATGGGCTAAATACGTGATGGGCTGAGTGGCATTTGTGCCCTGTGATCCTCATTAGAGTCAGGGAAAATCGCATGGCTAAAATACACAATGGTGTTTCCGAGCACGGAGGGTGGAAATTAATAATCACCAGTCTTCGTCATGTTCTTCCATGTGTGGGTCCAGTCCCTGCCATCATCCTGGTCTTTGGTGCTGGGGGAAGGACGCATCCATGACAATATATGGGCATTGCCTACATTTGCAGCTTTGCCAGCCCACATGCATACCTCTGCCCTTGTTCCTGTGGGCTCTGCCATTAAATGAAGCAGTTGGCATGCTGGTTGTCTTTGTAAAATTCCTGTTCCTCAACTCTCCCTTTGCTTTCTACTAATGCAAAGCATTTGCAGCCTTGCCCTGTGCTCAAAAGTGCAACCTAAATCCCTCGTCATAAATAAGGCAGGAGCTCTTGGTCCAAGGCAGGGGGTCTGTGCTGGGTCAGCTGCTGCATAAGGAGCCCGAAGGAATGGAGAATGAAGGAACGCGGTGTTCAGAGCACGCAGGTTTCGCAGAAGGAGGGGAGGGAACATTAGAAAAGCCCATGGCCGTTTTCCAGGGCCTCAGACTGATGGTGTTTATTGGGTCTCAAATCAGCCTGGGCTCAGCATGAGGCCACTAAAGTGGCAGCAGCTGAGCCCAGGAGGGCTCATAGCACCCCAGGTATCACAGGGGTTAACCCCATTCCGGTTTGCTTTGCCTCCTTTCCTGCAGGTGTCGTTTCAGTGCACCTCAAGAAAGACAGCTTTGGCAACCTGACCCTGCTTGCCAGCCCCAACCTACAGCCCGAGGGCTGCGGCCGCCTGGACAACACCAGCACTGACATATGGCACAAATACAAGCGGGCTGCCAGCACCAGCAGTGGCACTGAGCTCGTCAAGAGGTGCCACACGCAGCTCACCAAGACCTTCAAGGACAGGTGAGGGTGTGCCGAGGGCAGGATGCTCCCTGCTGATGTTCTCCCAGCCCTTGCCTGGAACCATCCCGTCCCAGTAGGGTGTGAGCAGGAGGGGTTTGGTGGCACAACTGGTTTAAAGCAAAGTCCAGCCTCGGAGAGCAAAAGCTGCATCCAGCACGTTGGCCTCATGGCTCACCTCCTCCCTGTGGGTAGAGCAGAGAAGATTTAGCTATGGCCGAGATGCTGTTGCTCAAATTTATGCCTCAAACTCTGCTTTAAAGCTGCTGCCTCCAAACACAGCAAGCTCCAAAACGAGAGGAGGCCCCATGAGATGAGGTGCTGAGCACAGTGGGCACACTGCTGCTAAGCAGACAGAGCTGCAGCCACAACTGCACATCCTGTCCCCATCCCTGGCTGGCTCTGGTGGGCATCGCAGTGCTTGCAAGCACGGCCCGACCTCAGGCCCCACAGAGGCTTTCCACCAGACATCTTTCATCTCAAATTGGTTCAGAAAAGGCTTAGGTCAGCTGTGACTGAAGGGTGCAATATTGCTCCCGTGAAAGCACAGCCCCCAGTGTGAGCACTTAGGGATTGTGGATGGGCAAGACCGACAGATGACCCTGCAAGGAGAGCAAATATCCTCCTTGCTCCCCCCCTTCCTTCCCCAAAGCCAGCCCCTCTAAACTGGGAAGCATTCCCATTGTTGGACAATTGCCTGTGTTGTGCCTGTTCGGTAGATAGAGATCCCTGGGCATTGATGCTATGAATGGTGCTTTTCATAGGAGCCAAGCACACTTTGAAATTATAATGAAAGAAAATATTGGCATCCAGCAATAGCTGCCTTTCTGAAAATTACTTTTACGGAGTAACAAAAGATCTCCGCAGGTTGGACATGATGAATAAGTTCCCTTTGAGAGCCCCAGAAAATTTACCTTATCAAGTTTGAGGTTCTACAAAAGGGAGGAGGGGGAAGAGAGGGAGTATTCTCTTCTGGAGCTCATAAACCAAACACATTCCTTTGTGTGCTCTGCCCAGCTGCCCAGGCAGGATGCGACTGAGGACAGACCTTCAGTACTGCACAGATTCACTGTTGGAAGATGCAAACAGAAACCAGACAGAAAAAAACAGCTCCAACCCCTGGGGACTGCACTGTCACAGACAGCACCTGAACCGCATGTCCTCCAAGTATAACGAGAACAAACTGCATCGTATCCTTTTTCCCCTCTCCCCTCCAGCATTGCCTTGGCTGCAGATAAGAGCTCATAATGGAGGTATGGCTTTTTGCAGCAGCACGCACCCCTCTTTCCCACTGTCTGAATAAGAAGGAAAAAAAAAAGCATTTCCCATAAGAGAATTCCAAGCTTAAGTCAAAGATCCCCTTGGCATACATCAAAAAAACACAGCTATATGGGAATTAGCAACAGCCTCGCCTTTTATTTTCCTATTACACTTCATTACCCACCAGTCATGTGCGTAATAGTTTAACAACTTCCCCCACACCCATTGGAGTAAGTGCAGTGCTGAGGAAAGGTGCTGGATCGACAGCCCAGGGCTACGGTGTCACTGGAGAATGGAGCTGTTGCTGCTTTAATTGGTAGGACTGTACTACTGTAAATTAACTGCAATCGGCAGCAAGGGGCCCATAGCAATGACATGTTGGTAAAATTGGCTCAGAAAGTCTCATTACAGTCGTGAGCTATTATGGAGAGCGTCAGCAGTTGCTCTGATTTAAGACCTCTTTCAATTAGAATTTAAAAGTATTGGGTTTCCCTTAACTCATGTTCAGAGTTTCTATTGCTTGAAAACGTGGTGTCGAAATACAGCTACCCCTGCATCCTGGACTTAAAGATGGGAACCCGGCAGCATGGGGACGATGCCTCGGAGGAGAAGAAAGCAAGGCACATCAAGAAGTGTGAACAAAGCACCTCTGCATCGCTGGGCGTCCGCATCTGTGGGATGCAGGTGAGGGCAGCCCCGCTCCTTTGGGTGTTTGCCCAATGCACAGCTTGAATCCACACTGCAGATCTGAAGGGATTCTCCCCTTTGTTGGTGTAAATTGAAGTCGTTTCATTGTTTTCTGCCAACAAACATAGGCTGCAAAGCCAGCCATGTGATTGTGCATCCCATCCTTAAACTGGATGCTTTAGGGACAGCAGGGAGGACAAAGCTTTCCCCGTGTTCTGTTTGACTTCTGGAGATGGGATTACTTACACAGGTGGTGGGTGTCCATAGGAGCAGCTGAGGATCTGCCTGTACACAGCAGCAGCATCTGCTATTGTGTGCTCAGCTCGTGACACAAGGAAAAGCAGCAGGCATCCCTTGCCCCACACACGCCTTCACTGAGCTGCCTCATCCCATTGCTGCAAGAAGGAAGGGTTTCTTTCCTGCTAAATATTATGGCTCCTCTTGATTAAAATCGCTGCCCTCCCTCCCAGAAACTGAAACCAGAAACTGAAACCAGACATTTTTTCCATTCACAGTTTTCAAACGGGTTTCACAATGTTCTGCTGCGCCTGAAAGATAATTATGGCAATGATGATTACAAAGAACATGCACAGCAATGTAAACAGCATCGAATGCTGTGTCCCTTCCTGGTCCCTGCCATCCTTCTGTTGAGCAGATTATCCTTTAAAATACAACTGGTGTGTGAGCTAATTCTGAATTCACTCTTCCAGTTCTTACTCAGGATTACCAATGCCTCACATACATACAAATTTCTGTCTACATCTTCTTGTCTCTCTGTTTAAGAAAACAGCATTATTGCTGCTTGTACTGAGAGCAGGAACACAGCTGGGGCATTGCTGTACTACTGCAGACTCCTAACGTAGCCAGAGGGAAAACGCCATAAATCAGTAATGACATGGCAATGACTTACAGCTCTACAGGTTTCACAGAGGGGTAATTTATTGGAACGCAAAAAGAATCTGCACCAGTGGCTTAAATTGAATAGTTTAAATCTCCGGAAAAGACAGGAGGTGGGATTCAGTGAGGAAGGAGCCTGCAGTGCACTGCCAGCACTGCTCCATTGCAGGGGATCCGTGCCCCATTTCTCAGCCTGGGCCTGAAATGTTTAAATTAGGATGATATCAGAAAAAAATGAACAGCAAAGCAGCCATTGAATCTGCATTGTTGCTCTCTTTCCCCAAGGTTTACCAAGCGGACGCTGGCCATTTTCTCTGCAAGGATAAATATTATGGAAGGAAACTCTCACCCGAGGGATTCAGGCAAACCCTGCAGCAGTTCCTGTGCAATGGTAACCATCTCAGAACGGACGTCCTGGAGCCCATCATCCAGAAGCTGAAAGCTCTGCTCTCCGTCATTAAGAAGCAGAGCTCTTACAGGTTCTACTCCAGCTCACTTCTCATCATTTACGATGGACTGGAGCACAAGGAGAGCACGGTGCCTTTGGATAATCACCTCCAGGGGCACTTCCAAAAAACAAACTGCACCACGTCGCACTCCAGAGTCGACGTCCGCATGATAGACTTTGCCCACACCACTTTCAAAGGCTCCAAATGCAATCACACCACTTACGACGGGCCGGACCACGGCTATATTTTCGGTTTAGAGAACCTCATCAAAATCCTTCAGAACATTTCAGAAGGAAAATGACACGTTCTGTGGGCTGGCCTGGGTTTGCTCGTGACCGATATCCTGGAGGAGCACCGCATCGGGTCCGTAGGGCCCTCCCAGCTGCAGAATGTCACGTGCATGGTTTGGAATGAGAGCACGGACAGCTTGCTAGGAAAGTGCAAAAACTGCTACGTGCCATTACTGAACTCAACCGTAAAAAGCAAAGAGCTGAAAGAATCTGTTCTGTCTGCAATCAATCAGAAGATTTATTTTCCTTTCTTGTTTTACTGCTGTCCTTGATTTATTTGTAAGCCAAAAGAAAGCATTACTTGAAAGAGTCTTAATGATAAAATAGGACCTGCTCACCTCCACCACGCTCACAAAGCCAAGCGAGCTGAGAAGATATTGTGCATTTAAGTGAGACTATTAAAATGAGCTGGCAGGTCTTAACAGATTGCAGCATTACTTTCAACTCATGCTCAGTGCTACAGGCTGAACACAAAGACAGAAGTGGAAGAAAAATGCACACCCTGACATTCACGCTCCACCTGCACAGAGCTGCTCTTGCAAGCACTTCTCCATACAGTGCAGGTGCACGGTGCTTTGTTAAAGCACGGACATGCCAGATGCTGCAGAGCTCCTGGTTCTGTACTGCTGAAGGTGCACAAGCAGGTGGATCTCAGACCAAAAAATGGACCTTGCAAAGGGCTTCATACCCTCTGTGGGTCATAACAGAGCATGTTTCCAGAACTTTCTAAGCAAGGAGCTCCTCGGGGGCTGAAGTATGATGAATTCTGTCAGACAGTAGTCAAAAAGTCACTCACGTCAAGATATTTATGCTTTGAATTAAAGAAAAAAAAAATGTCAGGGACTGGATATTAAAGGTTACCTAAAATTCTTTGGTACAAAAATAATGTGTGTGTTTGGAGGAAACGGTAACAAAAAAAAAACAAAAAAAAACCTGATTCAATGTTTACAGCTTTTGTTGACAGACTTTATTATGGAACAAACATAATTCCTTCCTGCATGGTGTGGGAAGCTTGAAAGGGAAGTCCTTACACAAGGAACGGGGGTACAGAACCCAGTTACTGGGGAGTGGGAATACAAATAAAGTTGTCTAAGCAACTCTCACCTGTTGTCCATCTCGTTTCCACTCCCAGAGCATCCCCAAATCATGCTATCTTTTCTTTAGGGCTCTACGTTTTCAAAAGAGCCATTATTCCCACAAGTTTAAATACCAGATCTGAAGGGAGAGCCCTTCACTTGTATTTTACTGCACACAGCTGGAGAATTGCTGCAATTTATAGCTGGAAAATTTAAGTCATCTGGCCCAGCTGCATATTTTACTTGGCCTGAAGTGCATCTGGGAATATCTCATTATTTACTGAATATTGTTCATACTATTGCATATTTTTTGCCCGCAAGCATTGCTGACTATTAAAAAAAGCCACAAACACTGCTTCAGCAGTGAAAGGCCTGAATCACTGCCTTGGCTCACACTCACAAGCTGTGGTCAGTGCTGATTGCAGCCCACACCTCACAGCTTGTTGTGCTGATGAGGACCTACCCCAGCCCTTACACTGCTGCTGAGCCTCTGGTGAGCAGGACGTGGGATCTGCAAGCGGGGAAGGATGAGCAAGGCTCTAAGCAAGGTGCCAGCAGCTGGGCTGTGTGTGATCCCAGCCATCCCTCGTTTCTCCTGCAGGAATGGAGGCATCCCAGCTGCTTGCACAGGAATCACCCCGCTCCTTTTTTCCTCCCTTTATACACCAGCACAGTTACTGAGAATTTAGCCACTGTGAGCATAACCCCTCCACTTGGAGATGGCAGAAGAAGGAATTCCTTACTGTGAGGTGGTGGGACACTGCACACACTGCCCTGTGAGCCTGTGGGTCACTCAGGGTCAGGCTGGGGGGGGCTGTGAGCAGCCAGGGCAGGAGGAAAACACCCCTGCCTATCACAGCGAGTGGAACGAGGGGACCTTAAAGGTCCCTTCCAACTCCAACCATCCCATGGCTCTATGAACACCGGCCAGGACTCCCTAGGTTGTGAAGCAGGCAGAAACTGTTGGAAATATCCAAATAAATTCTCAGGACGGTATTTCTGATAAGGCAGATTTTATTCATAATTGCAACGGCGAGCCACACAGAAAACAGTGTTACATCTTTTATTCCCTATTGCCAGCGCTTATCTTTCTCCCCTGGTTCCCCATTGGCTGAGTGCTTCAGGCTCACAATCTTCCCGACGCTCAGCTAAACACACGGATGCTGGCTAAACGTCAATTTTTGCCCACTAAGCATACACTGCTGGTCAGTTAACTTCTCACACTTGCTCACTCAACACTCGGTCATTGTTTCTGGGCATCTGCTCGTCCTTGCATAGAGATAAGCTTGGAAGGAGGACAGAAAGCAGCATCTCGATGCCTGCCTGGTGCATCCCAACCCACCCACGGAGCGAGGCAATCCAGCCTCGTGTGCAGGCCCTGCCTGCTTTGATGTCTGCTAAGTCTGGTTTTCTTTTGCCGAGGACCACGCCACGCAGCACCGCGCACCCATCCTCGGACGGCACTGCGCATGCGCGGCCCCGCCCCGCCGCCCCGGCCACGTGACCGTCATGGCGGCCACCAGGTACCGGCGCTTCCTGAGGCTCTGCGAGGAGTGGCCGGTGGAGGAGACGAAGAGGCAGCGCGATTTGGGCGTCTTCATTCGGCAACGCGTGGCTCAGGCCTTCCGCGAAGGGGAGAACACGCAGGTGAGACCGAGGAGATGTGCCGGGAGGGCGGCAGAGGCCTAAGTGGGAACGGGAAGGGGGGGAGGAGAGCAGAAGGGCGGGGACGCGCATGCGCGCTGCGGCGCTCCTCGCGGTGGGGGCGGGGCGGAGCGCTGAATTGGAATGAAATGAATGGAAATGGCGAGTCGGGCTGCGGTGCTTTACGGCCTGGGAGGTGGTGCTGGGGAACTGCAGGATCGTAGGGCATGCTGAGTTGGAAGGGAAGCGCGAGGAATCACTGAGTCCTTAGTGATGCAAAGGGCCTTTAATGGGCATTGCACTTGTGAGGCCCCATCTGCAGTGCTGTGTCCAGGTCTGGAGCCCCCAGTACAAGAAAGACACAGAGCTGTTGGTGAGGGTCCAGAGGAGAGCCACAAAGATGATCAGGGGGCTGCAGCACCTCCACTATGAAGACAGGCTGAGGGAGCTGGGCTTGTTCAGCATAGAGAAAAGAAGGCTGCGGGGTGAATCATTGCAGCCTTCAGTACCTAAAGGGAGCCTACAAACAGGAGGGGAGTCAACTCTTTGGAAGGGTAGATAACAGCAGGACAAGGGGAAATGGTTTGAAGTTGAGGGAGGGCAGATTTAGGTTGGATGTCAGGGGGAAGTTCTTTCCTATGAGAGTGGTGAGGTGCTGGAGCAGCTGCCCAGAGAGGCTGTGGATGCCCTGTCCATCCTGGAGGTGTTCAAGGCCAGGTTGGATGGGGTCCTGGGCAGCCCGGGCTGGTGTGAAATGTGGAGGTTGGTGGCCCTGCCTGTGGCAGGAGGGTTGGAGCTTCGCGATCCTTGAGGTCCCTTCCAACCCAGACCATTCTGTGATTCTGTCACCTTACGCTGAACAGAGGCATCTACAGCTCGATCAGGCTGCTCTTGGCTGGGTCCATCCTGACAGTGAATGTCTCCAGGGATGGGCTTCTACCACCTCTCTGGACAACCTGTGCCAGTGCTTCACCACCTTCATTCACTCTAAATGACTTTTTCTTTATATCCAAAAAGACTTTTTCTTTATATCTAATCTAAATCTCCCCTCTTTGAGTTTGAAGCCATTTCCCCTTGTCTTATCATCACTCTCTGCTAAAGAGTCTGTCCCTTTCTTACAGCCCTGCTTTAGTTTCTGAAAGGCTGTTATCACATCTCCCACAAAGCCATCTCTCCTTCAGGCTGAACAGCCTCAGCTCTCTCAGTCCATCCTGATAGCATCAAATCCAGGTCCAACCAAAAATCAGGGTGTGTGACTGTGCACGTTGTCCAGATGCTACTTGAGCTCTGGCAGGCTCAGATCCATGAACACTGTCCTAGGGAACCTGTGCCATGCCCTGCCACCCTCTGGTGAAAAACCTTCACCTCACAGCCCCTGACCTCCCCCATCACAGCTCCAAGCTGTTCCCTCAGGTTCTGTGGTCGATCAGCAGAGCTCAGCACTGCCCATCTGCTCTCTCTGAGGAGCTGCAGGGCTGTGAGGCCTCCCCCCCCTCTCAGCTCCTCTGCTGGATAACCCAGGGGACCTCAGCTGCTCATCATACATCTTTCCTTTCAGACCCTTCACCATTTTGTAGACATCCTTTGAACGCTTTCTAGTAGTTTTATGTCTTTTTTTGTACTGTGGAGCACAAGACTGCCCACAGTATTCAAGGTGAGGCCATATTGATGCAGTGTAGGGTGGGGCAGTCCCTTCCCTCAACCAGCTAGCAGTGCGGTGCTCGGTGCACCCCAGGGTAGAGTTGACCTTCCTGGCCATCTGGCCACACTTCTGGCTCACATTTAACCTGCTTTCAACCAAGACTCCCATGTCCCTGGCAGTAGGGCTGCTCTCCAGTGTCTCATCCCCCAGTCTGTATGTACAGCCAGGGTTTCCCTTTCCCAGGTGCAGAATTCAGCAGTTGCTTTCGGTGAACTTCGTTTGGTAGGTGATTGCCCACCTCTCTAATTTGCCTGGATCTCTTTGCAAGTCATCTTCAGCTGCGTCATCAGCTCCTCCCAGTTCAGTATCATCAGCAAGCTTATTCAAAATACCTTCTAGTCCTACATCCAAATCATTTATGAAGGCACTGAAGAGAACTAGCCCAAAAACGGAGCCCTGGGGAAGTGCCAGTGATCAGCTGCCAGCCTGATCTGTCCCCTTTGGGCCCGACCCATCAGCCAAATGCTTACCCACTGTAGGTTGTTCTTGTCTAGCTTTATGCTGGACATTTTGTCCAGAAGGATATTGTGAGAAATAGTATCAAAAGCTTTACCAGAATCCAAAGAGACTTCATCAGCTGGCTTTCCTTCCTCAACTAGATGGGTGACCTTGTCATAAAAGGAAATGAAGTTACTTAAACAGAACCTTCCCCTCACGTAACTAATGTGCCCTTTCTTAGCATAAAAACGCTGTTCCAGATGTGCTCTTTCTACTACAGTGTGCCATTACAGGCTCCCAATTCCATATTGGTCACCAGGATAATCTGCAGCAGACATTGCAGGAAGTGCTTATTGCTTTTCCACACGCTCAGGACAGCTGAATGTGCTGCACCGATTGGTCACAAGATCCCCAAGCTGCCACCGGTCTTGAAAACCTAAATTGATGCCTGCAGCACTGATGTCAATTTGTATGTATAAAGACTTAATACAGCGAAAGGAAATGTACTGGCAGTCAGCAGGAGGAATGTATGAGAGAAGCGCTCGAGCCTTAAAGGATACTCTGTCAGCCAAATGTCTGTTTTATTCACGTGGAGGAAGACTTGCTGATTTTTTTTTTTCAGGCAGTACTGTTTAATAGCTATTTCTGCTGTCATTACTAAAACATCAGCAGGGTCACTTGAAAAGTGGCTGTAAAATATGTGAAGCTGAAAATCACCTGCAGTTTGGTGGTGCCTGACAGCCTATCTGGCCCTTATCCCCTCTTCCGCAGTAGCCATTGCGTGCTGTACCAGGAGAGCCTTTTCCTGGGTTCCAAGCTGGTACAGAGGAGGCCATTACCATTACCCTCCTTGTGCTGAACCCATGCCAGCACCCCAAGGACAGACGAGCTGTGTTATTTTATACTGCCTTGTTATGGCTGATACTATTCTTATTCATGTATCCATTTTAATCATTGACGTTTGATGTCATTGGCCAGCGTGCAGAGTTCTGGTCGAGTCGGTCCCCACTATAAATTAGAAAAACAAGATGACATGCCATTCACGGTGCTGAACAGACTCTGCAAGGCAGAGGCACCTGTCAGATGCACTGAGGAGTGTTTTAGGTATTAGCAAAATCTTTCCAACTTACTGGACCAAAATAGAAATCCATTTACCCTACGCAAGCTGCTCAGTGCTTTTTATGCCGCTTTTCCCTAATCAATTATAAACTATTTTTAGCCTGCACCAGGATTTTCTCTACCTTCCATCCTGGTACCTCATCCTGTTTGATCCTTTAGAATGAAACAGGCGGCAAAACCTGCCTCTGAGCAGAGAAAGTGCAGATTTCACAGTGCTGGCCAATAAGCACGAGAGGAAAACCATCCAGCTTTCTTCACATTCACAGTTGAGCTGTCATATCTTTGTGAGCAGAACTCAAGGTCCCTTCTAGAACTTACGTGCCTCATTATTCTTGTAGGCCAAGCTGGCCAGAAGTGGAGGAGAAAGAAAATGCTCTGCGTTCAGGAGCAGCATAATAGGGGTCACCAGCATCCTGCATTGCGCTGAGAACTCGCTAAGCTACTCTTCTGCTGTCCTTCTCACAAACTTTCATCTCAAATGAAATCTTTTGCTATGTAGGTTTTAAAATAAGACTTGTGTGATATTTCTGTCGATTTCCAGATTGCTGATCCTGAGACCTGTGACCAAATGTATGAGAGCTTAGTCAGAATCCACAGCAACTACTACAAAAACAAGGTAAGGTTTGTTGTTAGTCATTGCCAGCCCTTTAGTGGGCCAGTCACCTCCTGCTGCAGTACATTGCCTCTTCCCAGCAGGGGTTCTGAGCATACAGCAGGCAAATGAGAAGTCAGGTAGATGCTGCACCGCCTGTGGTCTCCCTGGTTTTGCTGCTGGCCTTCATGGTGTGTCTGAACAATGCTGACAATAGTTTTTGCTATGGATGAGCACAATTCTTAGTTCTTGACTGAAAATGAGTAGGGCTCTATTATTTGGTGGCATATTACCTCTTCTGTGCACTGCAAGTAACACCTTGTTCTGTCTCTCCTTCTCTCACCTACTTGCTTGTTTGTGAAGTATCCACGCCTGAAAGACACAAGCTTCACTGGAGTGACAGTGCAAGATTGCAAGATGATCCTAGCAACAGGTACCAATACTGTGACTTGGGAGTAAATCAATGCAGGAGATAAATTACATTCTATTCTTTGTGGTGTTCACTTCATCACTTCTACTAAACACTTGTGACTAAAGGACTGATTGGGACTGCAGGTATATTAGGATGGTTAAAAAGGTGTAAGTTCAGGCATAATTGAGGAGAGTCTCAGTAATCTATTGGGACAAAAAGTCAATTGTGGTTTTTGCAGTGGGCAGGAGCGGCAGAGGGTTTGTGAGGGCTCTTTGAGATAGAATGGCAGGAGCTGTATGAAAGCAATCCACATTTGCTACATGGATCAAAAAATTCTTGGCTTCCATTTCATCATGTTCAAATTCCCTTCAGTGCTTCTTATCTTGTATTAGACTTAGAGAAAACAGGGTACCACAATGCAGAAAGACTCTCAGCCAAGTCATTTATTAAGCACGGTGCAGGAAGCCAATGCCGTTTTGTTCTGCTCCAGTTCCTAACTTTGACTGTAGTGCGTGGCAACTGAATATTAGTTGTTAGAGATAAGGGACTCCCTGCACAATTGATTGGAAGGGAAAACAAACTTGCCTCAGGCCCTGAAATAGAAATTCATTAAGACAAAAAGTCAAAAAAAGAAAACATTTGTAAGGCAAAGCTCTTATAAGAGGGCTTTCAGCCCTTTGCTTTCCTGCTTTTCTTCCTCTTTCCCCATCTCTCTCTCCCTTCTCCTTTTGCAGACATTCTGAAACAGATGGAAGACATGAAAAAAGGGACATGGAGAAAATTGCGAGAAAGGTTTTACGCCAAGAAATCTGAAGAGGACTTGAAGTGATAGGCTGACTCCCAGATTCTCCTCTGTATATATTCCTAAAGCTCTGTGTTGCCATGATGAATAAAACCATTCATTCCTCTTAGCAACAGCTTTTTTTTTTTTTTTTTTGTTCAGACTCACACTTTATACCCTTCGTTTGTAATGTCTGCTCTTTTCTTTTTGGAATTGTAGGACCTACCTTAACACATCTGTAATGAAGGCATATTGGATCAGTGTAAAAGTTTAAAAGAAAAAAGCTTTGTGTTGTTAGACCAGATCATTTGTTATTATAAGAAACAGACCATCAGGAAGTGCACAGCAAGTAGTTACAACCATGTAAGTTAAATTTGCTTGTGAAGACAGCAGTAGTGATGGCAGGGAAACGTAGCTGTGCTTATCTCTGTGTTTGCACTGTTAACAGTGAAATTGTGGGAGAGAGAACTTTTAATGATCATGTTTGTGTTTCGTTTGAGAAGTAGCCTGGGAAGACACAAGAAAGCACTGAGGTGACTGTTTACCATGGTGACAGCAGAGCAGTGTAAGAAGAGTACAGATGAGATCTCAGCTGCGTACCTTGTCTGCAATGCTGCATTGTTGTGATGCTGGCTCAGCTAACTATGCAGATTGCCCCCAGCGGGAGGAGAAGGTTCTGTGTCGGTTACTGCATATCTGAGGGATGAAGATAGGTTGTCATGATGTGTTGCTAAATAGGGCCGTAAACTAATTAGTCCATTGCTGTGGCCTATTTTTATTGCTTTTTAAATCTTTGATGCTTGCCTCAGCCTCTATTCTTGGGAGGCAGAGGCTCAGGATTGTAGCTGGGATGGCTACAGCACTGCTTGGCTGGAGAACGATGAGTGTCTAGAACACAGCTATGCCAGGACTCTGCTTGGCTCCAGGCAGCACGAACAGCTGCTCCTTTCTGTGTGTTCGAACTCTCTTTTCCTGGCAAGTAGTGAAAGAATTGGAAACTTTGCAGGATGCTCTGATCCAATGCTTCAGAATGCAAGGCTGGTGTTCCAGGTGGTTCTTCATAGTAACATTATTGGCAGTGGGTTGTGGAGTACCTTTGGTAATATAGCCCTGGATTGGTTCATGTATTTGAATTGCTCTGTATTTGTGTTTATAACAGCCCCCCTGCATCCCAGAGGAAGGGAGGTTTCTTTACCATGTTTAAGTTTTTATTATAACTTCATTTTGTCTTTAATTTAGTTAAGGCAATTTACAACTTTAGTTCTTAAGTAACAACAACAACAAAAAAGTAAAACATTACACCAGAGATGAAACTAAACCACAGGACACCCCTTCACAGTGAACTCCTGTAAACCTGCAGGTTCCTACTACTACTGCCCAGATATTCTTTGTCCACAGAAGGCAAAAGACCAGTTCTCATAGTACTAGCTTAGATACTCATCCTCATTTGGTGAGCTAAATTATCAAATCCGTCTCCTTGAGGTTAGCTCCTCTTTTACTGCACCAAAGTGATGAACAGAATTCTTTAAATGGACAGGAAGCAGCATGGAGCAGGTACAGCAAATACGATGGCTGGTCTGCAAAGTTCCACGTTTACTAGTGATGCTCCTGGAATAAGTTAAATACTGCAGCCCTACAGCTAGTTACACTACATCTGAGGTGGAGGCCACCAGATGTAGCACATGGAGATAAAGATACAGCCCCCCACATTTGCAAAATAAAGAGTTATTGCAATGAGGAATAAAAGTCTTGTATAATTTATCTTCCTCTAAGGGCATTGGATTAACATGTGGGTCCAGGAATTGTGAGGAATCCTCGCCAGCCATTGGTTCCTGAATTGCTTACAAGCAATCTAAGGAAAATATTGACTTGGAAGCCCCTCCACGTGGTCCTGCTTTCTCTGACAATGATGTCCATGCATGGGACCCAGGGATAAGCAGCCTCATCATCTGATAGGTATGTTTAGTCCTTCAGGGGGTGAAGCTGATCCTTTTTCTGTGTCTTAGTGGTTCATGGTATTCTGGACATCCACAAACCCCATCCTTTGTCTGCGCTTCCTTTGCTCTGTCATCTGGAGTTCAAACAAGGACACAAGTGAGGTAGAAAACCAGGCTGTTATTCTGTTCATTAGTGTGCTTCTCAGGTGTGTGACTGACTGGGCTGCTCTAAGCATCTGCCAGAACACCCCATGAGCCGGGCTCTAGCTGATGAGGAGGTATCAAAAAGCACATGACCTGAGTATTCTTAACTCCCTGCAGAAGAGCTAAAAGAGCCCTCTGATTTGTATCCATAGTTAAATAGGAATGGGCTGGTTCTGCCTCCTGCTCTTGGAATGGGAGTCTATTTTGGTAAGGACAGAGGGTTTTTAATACAGAGGGGTGTTACTCAAGCGTTCCCGTGTTTTATAACATTTAGTACCTGTTCCTTCAGCTCATTCAGCTGGGAGGTGAGATGGGACACCAGCTTCATCGTTGAGTTGAGTTTGTCTTGAAGATTTCGGATCTCGTTCTGTTCCCCTTCCCCTTCATTGCTGACCAGCGACATGGCTCGCATCCGGGGGAACCAGTCTAGGTTCTTGTTCTGGGAAGGTGACCATGAAGAATGGGAGAGGGTGAGAAGGAAACAAAAGACCCAGTGGGATTTCCATGGAGGCTGTCTATGCTTAGGGACTAAAGAAATTCTCAAAGGCTTGTCTGCATCTTTGCACATTTCCCACCACCTACTCATTTAACCTTTTTTCCCCCCAATCTGGGTCCAGGTTCAGAAGGTTTTTTTTCCTAAATTTCCTTGCCTTCCCTTTTTGCCTTGAAATCACCTTGCAGTCACAGTCTGTACTGCCTGGTACAATCCTTCTATCCACAGCACACAACATCAAATAGACAGCACGTTGTTGGCTGAGATTGCAAAGTGGAATTAACCAGCTAAGAACAAACTATGGAACAGCAACTTTCTTAAATATTTTCCAAAAGTTCCATCTCAAAACTTGTTGGTTTTTTTTTGGCAAGCCCACTGTTCTCAAACATCCCTCTGGGGCAGGCAGGGTGCAATAGAGCTGCTTGGAAAGGACATGCACCTTTATCATCTGAGCCACGTAGCTCTCAGGACCTGTGTAGTCCGTCTTGTTCTTCACTCGCACCAGCACTATGAAGTACAAGTAGTTCCACATGTTGTGCTCGTACTTAATATGCTCCTCAAAGGACACTGTCTTGTTGTCAAACTTGTCCCGTTCGAGTCCTGGGAAAGGCAGTCAAGTGCGGAGAAGGTGGAGAGAGGAGAAAAGGAGGGGAAGCCAAGGTAAGAAGTGAGCAAGCAAACAAATGTGAAAGGAAGTACAGATAATTGCCTCCTGTCCCAGGTGTGACTTTCAAGAAGTGCTTTTAATAATTAGTTGGCATTTAGCACACAACAAGAATCCAAAGCAGAGGGAAAATAACCCAGTTGTGTATTCAGGAGGCTTCTATTTAAAGTTCTACTAGCTATGCTTCCTGCCTATATAATCTAAAAGAACAAAATGCACCCAGTGGATCTTACAAGAAAAAAAAAAAAAGCTATATTTATGGTTGGGTTGGTTTTTTGGATGCCTTCCTATGACCGAAAGCATTCTGGAACATTTTACTCTATTCTATTTCCTTAGCAATATGCTTTTTTTCCAGTTGATAAATGCTGGTCCCAGGAGTGATGCACGGCGACAAGAACACCACAATGCAGCATTCAGTGTAGCACCTCATTAACAGAAGGCCAGTAGGAATAGGGCTAATTTCCCCTCTCGGTTTGTGTCCTTGTTTAAGCCTCCTCACACTGTAGTGACCCACTGGTGAAAAGATTTAAGTTGTAATTGTGCTGTGAACCAAATGAAAACTAAAAAACCAGCTGAAGCTTCACTTCTTCCCTCATGTCACAGGCTGACCTTAAAGAGAGGAACAATGTGGGGGCAATTCCTGTACACGCAGAGCCAAGGATCTGTACTCACCACATATGAAACAAGTGGTCTTCAGTATTTCTTCTTTCTTTTGCTTCTCGCTCCTCAGATCAGCAAAGGTGTCAATAATGACCCCAAAGATGAGGTTCAGGACGATGATAATGACAATGAAGAAAAAGAGGAGGTCGTAGACAACCCGAGCAGGAAACAAGGACTCCTGAGATGGACAAAAGGAAAAAACATGTCTTGCAAACCTCCCCTCCATCCGTGCTGCCTCGCTGCAGGGACCATAGGCTGAGGGTACAAGGTGAGGAGAGTCGTGGGGGTGTGATGGGGAAAGCACTGAAGGACGGCAGCGGGGAAAAGAGCTGGAAGTGATTTCCAGGGAGGAAGGGCAGCTCTGTAGTGGCAGAAGGAAGGGACCCCACTCACATCCTTCGATGGCTTGCGCAGAATGTCCCCTACACCCCCTCCATTCCTCAGGCCGTGGTTCAGGACAGTGACAATGCACATGAGCAGCGTGTCACAGGCTCGTTCCCACTGGTCAGTGTCTGCTTCTACAACACCAGAGGGAAGAATAAAAGCACAAAGCCAGAGCACACAAGGGCAGAAGAACCAGCCCATCACAAAGAATCCACAAAGAATCCGGGATGAGCTGCAGTGATGCACTGCCCCAGATGGGAGCTCCCAAGAATCCCAGCATCTCCTCCATCTTTCTCCTCACAATGGAGGTGTTTGGCTGAGCATCCCCAAAGCACTCGATTTCCTTATGTCCACATTAAAACAATATTTCAACATTTTTAAGTAAGGGAGTGCAGAATTTTGTTTAATAAGTGCCAAAAAGTGGGCTATTTTTTCCATGTTTCAATCCTTTGTAGGATTTTTCTGAGCTCGCTGACAAACAAGGCTGTAAGGCTACCCTGCTGCTAACAGCACTGACCTTTCTGATGAGCTCACTTACCTTGCAAGGCAGTGGGCTCAGCGGAGCAGCTAATTTTGTCACCACTGCAGGACTCCATGAAGGTCTCCATGTTCCTATGCATCCCCAAGGGGTCATCTGCAAGTAAAAGAGCCCACAGCCTTGTCAGAGCATCAGCTCTTTGCTCCTCTTCACCTGCATCTCATTGCAGCTTTCAAACAACTTGAAAAAAATATCTTGATTCACGTTCTCGTAGCCTTTTCTACGTTTTGAATCATAGAATGGCTTGGAT